AAAAACCAAAAAAAAAAAAAAAAAAAAAAAAAAAAAAAAAAGGCCATCATCTGACAGAAAGTCATTAACCCAACAGGCATTGAAAGCCCAGTGCAGGTGCTTTCTGGCCCATGAAGGAAGGCTGGCCCGTTTACACTAATAGGTTTCTTAATCCAATAGTTATCATCCATCATGCTTCACAAGCTTGTTTTGACAATCTTCATCGATGAAAATGAACAGTTAATTTGTGTATTATAAGTAGGCTGTAGGTAGAGTTAAGACCAGCCTCAATAATCCTTCAGCAAGAGGACATATTATATATTTACTTATCTCTGCCAACATTTAACATAGATAATAATTATAGGGATATATAATGAAAATTTTAATTTTGATAAGCTTCAATTTTAAAATATTCAAATTAATTTTTTAAGATTAACTTTCTTGATCTGTGAAGTCTTCTTAAAAAAAGTTATTTGCAATGTGACAAATATCTTACTTTTTAAAGATTGTTATACATTTTTGAGGATCTAAGGGTGAATTAAGAATCAATAATTCTACAATTTATTCTATAAACAACATATTATTTATTTCTTGTAATTTTATGTCTAAGATGACTATGAAATGAGACATATTCGTTCCTCGAGATTTACTTCTCAAGTGTTTTGAAATTTTGGGTATTATAGTGGAAGACTAGGATTTTGGGAATTTGAGCGTGGAAGGGAAGAAAATGAGGATCTCAAGAATTTATTAGATGTCAAAATTATTAGGTGCGAAGTGCGCACCGTCTGCACAAGCACTGAGTACCTAGCGGTACCCAACAGTATCGAGTGCGGGTACCACTAGGTACCCAATGCTTGTGCTGACGGTTCTCCCCGTCCGCACTCCACACATAATAATCTCTCCATGAGAGGGGATATGAGGACTTGGGAATGGAATGGGAAAAGAGTAGGATTTTAAGAATTTGGAAATTTGAAATGATAAGGGGGTTAGCAAGGAAATTTATTTTCTCATCAAAGAAGATTATAACTTGTTTATCTCTAAAAGTTGATGGATTTTCCATTTGGAATAGGAACTATATTTGGAGATCTTTCAGTGAGAGCATTATAGAATAAACAAGCATGGTAAATAAATGCAGCCATCCAGCATTCATTTTGGATAACATCCCCTTGTTTTAAAAGTTAATTACTAGTCAAGTATGACAATTGCTATTAATGTCACTGCACAAGAGCGCATAAAGTCAGAAGGTAGTAAGAACCACAATCGATTTAAGAAAGGAGCATAGCGTTACAGCGGCAGTGTAGTTTGCTTGGAGACAGATAAAGAGCGGAGCACTGTTACCCTCCAAACACTGGCGCTATGGCACTCTCAGACTGGAGAAAAATAGTTGAGTGCCGTAGCGCTTCAAATTTGAAGCGCTGCGGCGTTGCAAGACAGGCTAGACAACATTCTTTATCGTTTTTCATGAAGGGTTGCACTCTGGGTGGCTTTATGTATGTTTCTCTTTGTTTGATTTTTTTTTTGTAAGAGAATGGTGCAAATGTAAAGAGAGACAAGGAGAGAGTGAGTTTCTCAAAATTTCATAGTGAATTTCTTATTGTGTGCATAACTTTTTTCTTATTTCGAGTTTTCAACATTAAATCCTTGTGTACTTTCTTCTGCTGTATTTTCTCTCTTTTGTTTGTGTTCGCTGTTCGTTATACTTCTCTAACAAATCCTTATCTCTTTTTTTTTCTTAGGATCTTCATCACGCTGGATGTATTCGGATTAACTTTGATATATTTGTTGAAGGAAGACAAAGAAGTGATATTTTATGTGATTGATTTGTTTATCTTCTCCATCTGCTGCAGTCATTATATGGCATAAATATGTTTTCTAACACATCAATTTGTATCTACAATCAATCTTAGTATTTTTTAACAAGATTACTTTATTATTTTCATATCTAGTTGGTAGCAGGAACATGTAATAACTAGGAAAAGTAGGAGAGACTTCCACATTTCCAACCAATTTTACTTTCACACCTAAGTTTCCAACCAAATCATCATTAAA